CTTTTAGTTTCTACATTCTTTCCTTAGAAAGAGACAATGAGGAAACTAGCTCACTTTAGAATCTATAATGTTTTTAACCTTAAAGGGACATTGTACATTCTCACTCTATAGTAAAAACTCAGTTGGAAATGAAGGCTCTGAGAAAATATGAAACTGCAAATCTTAAAAACAAGCAACAAACAAAGGTTTGATAACACCTGCCTCTCTAGGAGATGTCCTCACAATTCTTTAACCACCACAGTAGTACCTCCTTATCTGTGGTCTCAACCATGATCTAAAAATACTAAATGGAAAAATCCATTCCTAATTTTTTAATTTCACATTGTTCTGAGTAGCAGGATTAAATTTCACACCATCCAGCTCCATCCTACCCAGGACATGAATCAGTGAATCATCCCTTTTTTCTTTTCTTATATTTTTACAGTACTGGGGTTTGAATCCAGGGCAAAATGCAAGTGCTTTACTACTTGAGCCATGTCTCTATCCTTCTTCTTTGTAGTTTGTTTTTGAGATAGGGTCTCACTAACTTTGTCTGGTCTGGCCTCAAACTGTGATTGTCCTGCCTCTCCCACTCAAGTAGCTGTGATTACAGATGAGTACCACCACACCTGGCTGTGAATCACCCCTTTGTCCAGATTATCCACATTGGATATGCTACCTGCCCATTAATCACTTGGGAGAGAGAGAGAGAGAGAGAGAGAGAAAAACACAGTCACACAAATTTTATTACAGTGCATTCTGTAATTGTTCTATTTTATGATTAGTTATTGTTAATCTCTTACTGTGTAATCTCTTAACTAATTTACAAATTAAGTTCTATCACAGATATGTATGATTAGGAAAAGATAGTATCAGTGTTCTCTGCAGTTCTAGGCACCCACTGAAGGTCTTGGAATGTATTCCCTGTGGGTAAAGGAGAAAAACTGTACTTAGCATCTCCTTAGGACCAAGCCAACTCCAGAGCTGAGCTGTTGGAGTGAACAAGATAAAAACCCCAGAACTGCCCTTTTCAAAGTGGCAAAATGAAAACAGAAAGATTATGATTCATCTAGATAAAGAGCCTTTAAAATAAAAAGCAGCATTTCAGGAACCAGTATATATTTCCTAACCTGGAGAGTTAGTGAATGGAATTAAGAAATATCTGCACAGGAGGACTAGGTATTTTAGATGGATTGCACAGCACAGTGACTATAGTTAATAATAATATATTATGTATTTCAAAATTGCTATGAAAGTAAATTTCGAACATTCTCACCACAGAAAAAATAAGTGAGGTGATAGATATATTACAGCTTGATGTTCTCCTTCTGCATTGTGTATGTATGTCAAAATAGCACATTGCATTCCACAAATATGTACATACTGAATATGTTATTGCATTTTACTTTTTACTGTTATTTTTCCAATTAACATTTTAAAGAAAGAAATGCTAAAAGAAGTTTATGAGACCAAAAGGAAATGACACTATATGGAAAATTAAATCCTCAGAAATGTGTGTGAATTTCATCAAAAAAGCTACATATCTGGTAACAACTTGTGACAATTTTTCCCTTTTCCCTGAAATCTCTATGAGTCATGTAAATGTTTAAAAACAACAAAAACAAAATGAAACTTTAAATTCTATAAATAATAGTCCCTTTCACCGAGGAACTTCGGATATAGCAGTCAGCACGAACACGCAAACTACACCCACCAAAAGGAAACCCTAGTGGCAGTCCCCCTACCTCGTGCCATACCTGAGCAGAGTGACTTGCACTGTGAAAGATGTCCCCATAGCTGGGCAGGTGGCTTCCTCTCCTCCTGTTCACCACCAGCCTGGGAGTCTAGCCATTGGCTTGTCCCCCATCCCCTGCCCTGGAGCCCAGCCCCACCAGATTGCCACTTCCTTTCCACTTCCCCACTGCCTGCAACCTCCTGACCCTGTCACCAAACTCTCCTGCCCTCAACACACAAATACTGTCTCAGTCACTAGTAAAACTGGAGAAGGAGCTCATGTCACTAATAAGGTGTCATACTGAGAGAGAAAATACTTTCCCCAGCTCCTAGTTGTTTGAAGAGAAATATTAACTTCAAAGACAAGTCTTTACCTGGGATCTGAAGGGCAAGGCATATTTCTCTTGTTCCAAGCTAGCCTTGCCAAGGAGATTTGAATTTAAATAAGCACGCTCTGCAACCTATTAATCTAGGGTGCTGGGGTAGCAGAAAGAGAGAGCCAGTGTCACTGAACACCATGAGCGTGGAAGGAGCAGGAAGCTGTCCACCCAGGAGTACAGATGTTTTATTGCTGTTTTCTCCTGGATCCTTCTGCCTGCTGAGGCCAACTCCACTGTCCTGGACTGAGGCTGGCAGATGCATGGTTTCACGTGCAATGACTGCCCCTCCCACCTCAGAGCAGAGACAGAGATGGTGTCTCCTGCCTAGAGAACCCTGCACCTTGACTGACCCCATCTGCGCCCCCTCCCTGCCCTGCAGATCCTGACTCGCTGCCACACCTGTCCATGGGGCTGCTCCCGGCTTCACTCTCTGATCCTTGGTGTTTGAGCCTCTTTAATTCCCACTTCCTCTTTACAGTTTCCTCCTCTTTGAGTGTGCCCCAAGCTCTCCTCACTTCAAATAATCACAACAGTCTTCTTTGCATTGTACCATGTGCTAGGCTGCACCCTATCTTTTCTTGTCTCCTCCACAACTTAGATCTCTTATGAAGGAATCTGCACAGCCTCTCTCCACTACCCTCTGTCTCCACCCATAAAGACTTCAATGACCTCATCCTTGTCAAACCCAGTGTCACAGATATATACAGAAAGTCCTCCTGGGTCTCACCTCCTGGATTTCTCCAAAACTGAGCTGCTTGCTCACCCTCCCTGCCACTCCCAACACACTCCTTCTCTTCCTTTTTCATTCAGAGTCTTGTAACAAAATCATCATACTCCTGGAGATGAGAAAGTCTCCCTTAGCTCACTCATGTCCTTCAGCCACCCCAGGCCCTCGGTTACAGGTTCAGATGACTCTCCTCCCTCTCCATGGTGACAGCCACAGCTACAGTGAATGCCCTTTTTTGGTCCACTGTAGACTACTGCAGTGTTTCGGCAAGTGGGGAGACATCCCTAAGAGGGTGTTAGGGAGAAGGGCTCTTCTTGGTCTCTAGCCTGGCCTCTCCACCTATTCTCCACAAACAAAGACTTACAAACAGATCTTCTTGAGTTATTTCAATGGCTTCATTTTGTGTGAAAATAAATCACAAATATTAATGTGATATAAAGCCATATCATAGTCTTATCCTCACTATATAGTAGCTCAGAGCATAGACCCTGAAGCTCTACCACTAACTAGCTTTGTGACCTTAGGCAAGGTTCTTAACCTCTCTGTGCTTCAGTTTCCTCTTTGTAAACTAGGGATGAGTATAATAGAACTCATAAGGTACAGGGAACATGGGATGTATTAATACATATCAGGGTTTTAGAGCATCCCCTGGCACATAGAGGTGCTATGCGTATCTGTTATTTGTGTGGACTGCCTGCCCACTCTCCCCTCTGATCATCTTCCATGCACACATGTATGTAAGTGTGCTACCCATCATCCCACCAACAGCAAACAGTTCTCCCCAGATACAGTGACTATTTCATCTCCACAACTTTAGCCACTGGCTACCTTCCTCTTAACAACTCTGCACAGCCATCACTTCTGGGAAGCCTCTCCTAAGACACCAAGACCACCCCCCACTGAGACCCCATGGCACCCAAAATGAGCTTCCATTTTAGTTTGCCTTGCCTCAATTGTGTTTATAAACCCCAAAACTATTTTTTGAGCACTTATCCCATGCGCAGCCCCATTCTAAATACTGCTATGTATTCTCTCATTTACGTGTACTCTCTCATTTAAACCTTATGGCAAGTCTTCCACGTGTTTTAATAAGTGCCAGACACATTTGCCTCCTCACTGCTTGTGAGGCGCTTCACGGGCAGGAATCCTGCCTTGACCACCTTTGAATCTTCATTACCCAGCAAGGTGCCCTGTGCATTGTAGATATATGATTGAATTAGTATCTCTTAGTGGAATCTATCAGAAATGGGCTGCGATCAGAGATGGGAACGTGCACAAACTACTGACATTGAGGGACATTTAGGGAAAGGATGAATGGTCCTTGGATCTGAAACTCATCCGGCTCTAAGTGAACACTGCTGTAACTACGTCGCCCCATCATTGAATCGTTATTACTATATGAACATTTTCTGTAGTGCTCAGGGGTTAATGTGCTCTCATTTGATTCTATACTGTCATATAATCTCAGGTCTTTCCAAGGACATAATAATACAATTCATGACGATATTTTATTCCATGCTCTTGCTTCAAGGGTCAAATGCAAAGTTCTGAGAAGTTTTGCACAACCCTTACCTCACAGGTTGCCCACCTTCAGTGAAGGGTAAAGAAATACTCACCCTGATAACCTTTTCTCTTTGATGAACACCAAATGCAAATTGCCACAAATTATAGAAAATTATAATCAGCAGTTAATGTGATAGTTTCTATGGTAATAGTCTCAGAACATAAGCACAAATATGTATTACTTAATTGTTGCAAGAGTATGCTTTTTATAAATCAGAACTATGTAAAAAGAATTCAGGTTTTTTTTAACTTCAGCTAGCTTTTATTCCCTACCCTTTGACCACATGGTAAGTTCTGCTTCATTAGGTGGCAGAGAATGGTCAATATCAAAATGGTTAAACACATTGATTAACATGTCTCCAGGTGACCTCAAATCTGACCTTAACAGGGGAAGAGCACCAGCCAGCCATGAGAGTGCCAAAGGGTGCCAATGGATGTGGATGGGCACAACAAACTCAAATCTGGACTTTCAAGCTATCTCTGGGAGCCCCCAGATTTAATTCAGTACACCCCAAGATTCTAAAGCTAGCCTCTGCACAGAATGATGGAGCCCTCTGATTTTGTGAAGCACTGAATGTGATAGGAAGTGTGACCTCTTTGGGGTTGTGTCTTCTCAGGAACTACCACTGCTGGAATGAGGCTTGGATGACAAGGCCTGATCTTCCTGTTGGATTTGGAGGCTGGCAAGTTGTGGATAGCACCCCCCAGGAAAACAGTGATGGTAAACATGCATTTTCCCTCGGGGAAGTTGTTTCACTGCTGACCTTATTTTGCTTTTATGTCTGAGTTGATGCAGAGGCAATACATCCATTGGGAACCAACATCAGGCATGTGCTTTCTAGACATGAGCACTATCTTAAGTAACTGCCAATCAAGTTTAATGTCATTTCAATAGACAGCTTTATACTGATTGTTTTACAACTTTTAGAAAAATAATATAAAACTTAGCAAGTATAATTCATCTACTCTTGCTTTACTAAGCAGTTTTGAAGACAAGAGACAAAAATATCTGTGTAAGCATTTTTACAAGGCTATAAAATATACTTCAGTCCTCCCTGATTCAGTGTTAAGATATAAGGCTGCAGAGAAAATAAAGAACTTGAAAAATAATTATAGATCATACCTTAAATTATTGATTTTCCAGAGCCTGATTTCTTTTTATGTTGTGTGATTTCTTTCAAAACTTGGATGTGTCAGTATTTGTCTTCTAAGTTGCTAGCTCTGCCAAGCAATGCAGCTATCACCAACCCCAGGTTTTTGTAAAATCACACCCTAAATTCCACCTCTCACTGAGGGCATGGCTCAAGTGGTAGAGTGCTTTCTTAGCAAAAATTAGGCTCTTAGCACAAATCCCAGTACGACCAAAAGAGAGAAAGAAAGAGACTCCATCTTTCTTTAATATGATAATGTAAAAATCACTGGACTGAGGACATTATGTTTATGTTTATTTCCTCGGATGTTGATCTGAGATAGTGATACATGTGTGCAGGAACATTTATTCACATATGCATAATGAACCTGAATTATAACTCTAGAGTTAAAGGAAGAATGTTAACACTTTCTGATGTTCTGAATTGCAGAATGTGAGGATACTTCAGAGGAGACTAATGGCAGCTAATCTCTTATTAACTGTGGATAGGTGTTTAAAATTTAAAGACTTGTAGAAAAGTAAACAATGAGCCCGCTAACTTCCTGAACACAGGTTGGGCATTGACCAATGTATGTGTATAGTGTCCAAATTCTCCAGTTGAACTTGACATACATCCATAATGTCTAAAACAAAAATTGAAACAAATGCAACACAACCACCCAGTGACACATCAGCATCTCCAACCTCTCAGGTACAATTGAAAAAGGAATAAACACTGTGAAAGCCAACAGCTTGGCACAAACACACTCGGGTATGTGTTAGTGTGGAACAGATGGATAGAGGAACAGTGTTGCCAGTTCTTTCTCTGGCTTCAGATTTTGGGTCGAGTAGGGATTTCCACACACTAGTCACCTGCCCTCTATAGCCATGGAAAGCATTTGGGCAACATCAGTGATGAAGCTTAGGGATGCCGGTGTCTATAGAGCTACCTCGGGGTTACGTGTGGTTCTGTACATGGACAGAATTGCAGACAAGGACCTCATAGTGCCTTCCTCTGTGTGATACAGGCATGTACCGCTGTGGCCCCGCCTCTGTCCAAGCTGTTAAGCATGGCCACATCTGCTTCCAGTTTGATGCTCCCTTTGTTTTTGCAGAGGTAAGTGGAAAGCTGGAGGAAAATGCTATTTTTCTCCCCAACCTCTTAACACAGAACAGGTTACAAGGTTGTTAATTCTCAATTTCCCAGGTACATGGTGTATGCTTTGTGTTTACCAATCAGCCAGACAGCATTCCAACCCCCAGGTTCTTAATGCTGATTGCAATTCTTGCTTAGTTTTTTTCTTTCCTTCATGTTTTGAGGTGGGTTTTTTGCTCAAACCAAATGATTTACAACCTTAGCTGAGTTCTCAGCACCTGTGAACTGTTATCAATGCTTCCAGAAACTTTAAGTGATGAACTAGTTAACTCAACTATGACTTGATAGAAATGGTTCATGGATGGAAATTTCAGAGTCCACAACTTCTCTCTAAGACTAGTCCAGCAATCCATGCAAAACAAAATTCATATCCACCCCAACCATGGTCTTGACCTGGGCACAGCAATACATGTGACTGCCATTCCAGGCCATCACCTATGCTGCTCCAGTAGAGGAATGCAGCCCATTGTATAAGCTGGTGGGGATGCTTAGGTGAATGATATGAAATTCCAGAAGAACTGAGCAAGAAGTAGAAGCAGAGGAAGCAGTTAAAGGGTGAGAGTGTTGAAAATTAAGTTAAATGTAAGAGATGTCAGGTAAAGGAGAAGATTGGGAAGCTGCTAGGGAGGTGGGCATTTGAAAGACTGAGAGGCAGGACCTTCCAAAGGATGTATTTCCGCCAGGAAATACATTGAAATAATCTTTCTAATGTATTGAGTTCTTGCTATGTAATCTCTCTGCCTCCTATTTCACACTTTTAGCAACCCTTAAAATGGGTATATAATTCTCCCCACTCAACAGAAAAGAAAATAACCTTTCCACAGTCATCCAGCTAATAAGTAGTAATGTAAGAGCTGGGCCCAAGCAACTGCTCCACAAAACCACTCTGGAGGAGTACATATTTAGTATTAGTGTGCATCAGGTACTGTGCTGTGGGAATTTCAGAGGCCTAGGTCCTTAGGAAGTGTGATTCTTGGTGGGAGATAGCAGAAAATAATCAACTGATGACAAGTGGAGTAGAGACAGTACAAAGGCTGCTATGGAACTCAATGTCAGATGAGCAATATAGTCAGCATACAACCTGCATTTATACAGAGAGATGCTCCCAATTGAGAAAGAAGCCAGAGGAAGGAAGGAACTTAGGCAGAGGGGATGACTTGAGCATCCCAAATGCTATGTGTGGAGAAAAAGTCTGCACTCGCTACAATATCAGCCATGCATCAGGGTGTCAACGATGAAAGCCAAAGGAAGTCTACAAGGGAAGCCTCAGGTTCTGAGAAATTAGTCCTTCACCTTGTAAGCCTGGGAGAGTCATCATTAGTAAGGGGCATAAGCCAGAGCACTGCAGCCTGGGAGCACAAATTGGATAGAATTTTCATGGGAGATGGGAGACCAGCCAGAGGGCTGTGTCATCCTTCCATGCCAGAGATGGGAAAGGCCTCAACTCAACAATGCTGGGATAAAGAGGAGGCAGGATTGAGATGTATATGGGAAGTAAGATAAGTGTTGATATTCAGATGGCGGAATCTAAAATTTGAAATACACAAAAGGAACTACATTTCTCCTGCTGCATCTGCAGCTTCTAGAAACCTCGGGAGACCAGACTTGCTGTACTTAGAGTCTTAGCAGTTTGATTTCACTTTGGGATTTGAAGATTTGTACAAACCTCCCAAGCTGTCATCTGATAGTTTATGATGTTCCCAGAACCTCTCAATAAGAAATCACTCTAAAATCTACAATGCTTTCTTTTTATAACTTCATTATGCTTTACTCCTGCAAAGGAGAGAGGAAGGCCATCCCTGACGTGCAAACAGCCTAATAGCTGTTAATGCAAGCACTCTTTGCTGATATTAAATATAGATCAAGGTGTTGGGAATGTCATCAGGATTTGTGGATTATCCTTCTCTCACCCACTGCAGACACTTGTCTGAGAGAGGGTGTAGTTTGTTGCTTTGGCACAGGCTGAGCTCCAGGGCCAAGCCATTTGTAAGAATGTGCAAGCTGTGGAAGGTTCTTGATGCATTTTTTCTAAGGGTGCACCATGGGGGCCTAGTGTGTGACTTCAATGAGTGTGGCCGTGACTCAGGCTTGAGGCTGTGGCTCCTTCCCCTCTGCCTTCCTTATGCGTCATCATGGCTCTTTGGCCCCATGTGCATCAGCAGGCGTTTGCCGGCTTTTGTCTCTCGGCTTGCCGACTTTCTGGCCATCCCTCACTCATTTCCGGACCAGGTCAGCATTGTGTTCACTGCCTATCTTTAGCTTTTAGTTTTCTTAGGGCCTTGATCTATTTGAGTGAAAACAGAATCTGAAAGGGGATAAGAGGGGTCATGGAAAGTGCCCTCTCTTACTGGTCCTTTTCCTCCCTTCCCCCATGGTGGGTAGAAAGGGACATAGGGAAGATGCTGTCTATGCATCCTATGATCTCTGACTCCTCCCCTCTCAGGTCACCTTCACCATGGTGAATCTCTCTGATTCCAAAGGCCCACCCTCCCTTCTCTCCCCAATCCAGGGTGCTCCAGAGCCTGTAAAAAGATAAGAGCCAGGTGTGATGGTGTATGCCTCTAGTCCAAACTACTTGGGAAGTGGAGGTAGAAGGATTGCAGTCCAAGGCCAGTCCAAGCTTAGTGAGTGTGAGACCCTATCTGAAGAAAGGACTGGGGGAGTGACTCAAGTGGTAGAGCACTTGCTTAGAAAGCATGAGGCCCTGAGCTCAAACCCTCAGTACGGGGGGAGGGGTGTGAGAGAGAGAGAAAGAGAGAAACTAGCTCCTAGGAGCCACATTGTCCCCTTGTGGTGACTGAGCCTCCCCTTCCTGGCTGTGGGCCATCAGTTCTCCATGTCCACCTGCCACACACTTCTCTGTAGACCATTTCCTTTCAGCTCAAACCTGTCCATTTTGCACCTCTTCTTACGTGCACCTCATTTTAAAGCATCTCCTATTCAGATCTAAAAAATTCACCCATATGTCCAAATAATACATAAACTTCAAGAATTATTTTGGCTTCTCTTCCTAACCTTCTTCATGCACCTTGCCAGAAACACCTTTAAGGACATCTGTGATCTGGCGCCTCTCACAACCACTGTCATTACTCTCTGAGCTCTCCCCAGTGCTGAGCTCTGAGTCGTCTCCTACCTGTCTGTTCTTCTGCTGTTCTTGCCAATCAGCCAGAATTGCCCGTCAAACTGTAAATTAAGTCATAGCACACCCGCCCTGAATCTTCCAGGGGGTTCTTGTTACCCTTACAGTTAAAGTGAACATAATCTTTACAAATCCTATGTGATCTGGTCCCAGCTTTCCTTCCACCCCTCCCTTGATCCTTTCCCTCCAGCCCTACCAACCTTCCTGCTCTTCTGGAACCATCCAAACCTGTTCTTGTGCCAGAGCTGTTCTTTCTTTGGAAAAGCCCCACTTCTCCATCACACCCTTTTCCTGTGGTGGAAGAATCTTCATGTCCTCTTCCCTCACTGCATTTGGGTCTCTACTACATCACAACCCTGCCCTTCAGAAATATCATACTCTGTTCTGTTTTTAATCCTCCTTCCCAGCCTTGTTGTTTATTCTCTCCCTTCTAGAATAGAAGCTCCCTGAAGGAGGGTCTGTTGTGTTCTCATTACTGAGAGCAAGGCCTTTTCACAGTAGCCATCAATAAATGTTCATTAAAGAGCTGGTGCCAAGTGCTCTGCCAAAACAGCATCTCTAAGATGGGGCCAGAATTGCAACAAGACCTTAGTCCTGGTGGGAGAGGAGGCCCAGGCACTGCACCCACAGGCTGTAAAGGACAGGGCTGGCATTTAGCGATTGTGTCACAAAGGTCCCCAACCCCTGTGACATCTAGACTGGATATGCTCGGGGAAGCAGCACGCTCTCCAGGGCCTGCAGTAGGATCATCTCCTCCTGGGAACAAACGGACAAACCAAAGAGAATTCTGTCCTGGGTCCTGAAAAATGACCCAGTGAAGAGCTCAACTTTATGGGCAAAGGCAGAAGTTTACAGAGAGTTTCTCTAGCCTGCTGAGGGCACAGGTCACCTTCACTGAGCCCCCAGGGACTAGGCTGCATAGGAAATGCCTGTATCTGATGAAGAGGAGAGGGTATGGCCCTATGAAAAAGAGTGCTGGATTTCACATGGGGAGGCCCAAGTTCAATGTGATCATATCCCTGTATAGTGTAGAGGGGGACTAGATGGTCACTGAGATTCCTTTCCATTAAACAAAGGAAAAGAGATAAGCCTGAAACATGGAACTTTCCTGAATAGTGCTGATCTACCTACTAGTCCTTCAAAAAAGGTATTATTTAACCCAGGTTCAGAAGATTCAGTAATTTGCCCAAAGTCACACAGCCTAACTCCAATATTCCTTGTAGTATACTCTGCATTAAACTACTTCTCTACTAGTCTAGTCAGTCGGTCTTGGGTGGGGCCTATCACACATATCCCCTCAGATATTCAGCCTTAAGCCAGAATGAAGAGTCACTCTACCAGCTGAAACTGAAAAGAGAACTTGCTAATATCACTTGACAAGAATACTTTCCCTCCTCCTCTTTCCTCCCCTTGCATTCATGTACAAAAGCCAGATCATCTGTGTGTTTCTCCCAGCCTCTCTCCATAAGGGAGAGTGCTGTAGGGCTGGCCTGAGAGTTTAGACTTCATAAATATCTTAAGCTATATTCAAGGGGAGGTCAGGATTTGGCCACTTTCATATTTAGCCTGTCTCTCTGGAAAACATCGGCCATCGTGAGGGCTGTTATTAAGAGGATATTTATCATGATCATTGCTATAATTTGCAAGGGGAGGAAGTAGTTGTTGGTGCTTCATGGCCTCCCCAGAGGGAATGCAAAGCTCCCAGGCAACTCATTTAAATTTTCCTTAACTTTTTTTCTTTTCCAAATAGGCAAACATTCCTTAGGCAGCTGCTCTCCCATCCTGGTTCCTGATTTCACACCTCACCCCTTCATATTTGGCTAGCACCATCAAGCTCTAGCTACTCTGTGGAGTAGAGTACCATTTATCATCCTCAGAAACTTGAGTCCTGAGGGTGAAACCAACAAAGGCTCTTGGTGGTGCTCTTGGATCTCCAGGGTCATATGGGAGAGACAGTGTGCTATGAAGGAGCATGGGTCAGTCCAATGTGAAGGTCAACAGATGGGGTCATGGGTCAGCCCAGGGTAAAGGTCAAGGAGGAAGGGCTATGGGCTGACCTGGGGTGAAGTTCAAAGAGACATGCTATGGGATAGGTCAGGCTGAGGGTCAAGAGGAAGAACTATGAGTTATCTCAGCACTTGTACCAGTTCTCCACTGTCTCCCAGCCATGTGACCACAAACATTTTGCTTGACACTTGTGAGTCTTGGTGCTGTCATCAATAAAATATGGATAATAATACAGTCCTCACAAGGTTGTTGTTTAAGGTTTAAATTAAGACATTTACAAGATGTCCATGAAACACTGTGAGTATTCAGTAACTGTTGGCTATATCCTCAAGTAAAGATCAGACTTCTTATAAATTCAGAACATTTTATGGGAAAGGAGAGGAAAGTTTCTCTCTTTAACTTTAAAAGTTAGGAATATATAATCTTGCTTCCCCATTACCTCAGAATGGCCATTCCATTTTTATTCAGTTTTGAAATTTTCAAGTCACATTCACCTAGCTCTTGTCTCACTCTGGCCTAAAAGGTTCTTATAAAATTGGCAGAACAAGTGTGATTAATTTTCATGTTAGAGAAGCAAGAACTGAAGTTCAGAGAGGTTGACACAACTTTCTACAAGCCTACATCCTGGATCACAGCCCAAGTTTCTTGCAGCTGTTCTAGTCCCTCTCTCAAGACCTTCGTCAGAGGGCATGGCGCCTGCTGATCTCTCTGCCTCCCACAGACATCCTTCCCTACATTCTTTAGCTCTCACACTCCTACGCATTTTGTAAGTTCAACCTGGCTGACACTTTCTAGACAACTCCTCACCACCTCTGAGTCCCAAAGTGTCTTAGATGTATCTTCTCAAGGTACTTGTGGTACTTTATTGCAGACGTTCTCAGGCTGTGTTCATTAAAATCATCTGAGACTTCTTGGAGACTATATTAGATTTAGAGTCCCACCCAAGGCCTACTTAATCAGGGATGTACTTTTTTTTTAAGTGCCCCAGTGAACTGGTGTGCAGGCTCTCCTTACTAGTAATGAAATCCTATCACAGAGGGACCACAACTATTTTGTTCATTGTTAGGCCTCCAGCACTTTGAACACATCTGAGAATGCTATTAAATAATATATAATTATTGATAACACTTACTGAGTGTTAGCTCTCTGCCAGGCACTATCATAAGTAGTTGACTGCATTTATTTCAGTTAATTCTGCCAGTCATCCTTTAAGAAAGAAGCTGTTGTTACCCTACGTAAAGAAAAGGAGAGGGGCTGGGGACATAGTAGGATACATTAGTGACTGTTAGCCGTGCTGTTTGTAACTCTTGCCTGCTCCCCTACTAATAAATGGACCTCCCAATAATATGATTGTGAAAAATACAATAAGGAGCTCTGGGGAAATTGTTGTGCAGGCCTGGATTTGATCATTGTCTCTAGACAGTGGTGAGGGAAAGCAGAATCTTGGAAGAGCTTGGGTCAGCCAGCATGGTCCCAAGACACTATTTCCAAGTGCCACAGAGAGCATATTTTAGTTGCTGAACCACAGAAAATTGCCTGAATTCCTCCCATATGGTCTAATCTTATTTTTCTATTAAAATGCTTTTGGTAAGGCTACTCAAGAGACGGAGATTGGGAGGAGCAAGGTACGAGGCCAGCCCAGGCAAAAAGTTAGCCAGACATGGTGGCACAGGCATGGCATCCCAGCTATGTGGGAAACTATAGGAAGAAGGACCTTGGTTTGAGGCCAAGCAAGGCCCTACCTAAAAAATAACTGGAAAAAATGGGCTGGGTACTTAGCTCAAGTGGTAAAGCACTTACCTGGCAAGTGTGAGGCCCTGAGTTCAAACCCCAAGCCCCAGTACTACTAAAAAAAAAATAAAATAAAAACTTTTGGCTGTAAGTAACAGAACTACTATGACTTAAATGGTTGGGGGTTTCTTTTCCTCACATAAGAAATCCCAAATTAGGCAGCCCCAAGGTTGGCTTAGCCATGGAATTGCATCATCCTGCCTGCAAGTGCTCCTCCTTTTTTCTCTGCCAGCTTAATAACACTTCTTGTCACTGTCCCTGGTTCCCTTCCCAGCAGGCAGGGAAGGACAAACTCTCTCATTTCCAGGAGGCCACCTGGCAGGCTTCCTTTCCTTCCTAGAAATAGGTCACATGGCCTCTGCCAGCTTCAAAGAGGTCTGGGAAGGGAAGAAATGAGCCTGATACTTCCTGCTCTCCTGAGGGAGGAAGAGTGTATCAGGAAGCAAAAGGGAAATAAGGAACAGTTGCTATGTACACACAATTGATCATCCCAACCCCAGGGAGTCTTCATTTAACTTACATGCAATGGATCTAAAGTTGATTCCCCCTTCTGATTTTTTTTTTTTTTGGTGGTCCTGGGGTTTGAACTCAGGGTCTCATGCTTGCTAGGCAGGCACTCTACCACTTGAGCCACTCCACCAACTGAATATTGTTAAATGAGCCTGGCCCAATGAACCCAATGCTGTTGAAGAAAAGAGCAAGTCAACTTTAGGGGTCACTAGCTGTCCACACCATGGAAAGTTAAAGATTTTGGCAATGAGGAACTTTTGCTGGCATTATATGTGTGTGTGTATGTGTGTGTGTATACATATTACAGTCATTTGATACACTTATGATGTATTTGTAATAATCAAATCAGGGTGATAAGCATTCCCATCACTTCAAACATGAATCTTTTTTATCTGTTGGGAATTTTGTACACTTCTAGTCATTGTAAAATATATAATAGATTATTTTAACCAATAGTTACCCTACTATGCTAAAGAAGAACAAGAAGTGATTTATTCCCTGTGTTTTGGTGTCCCTATAGAACTTCTTTCTGTCCTTTCCCCAGTTCCTTCCATTCTTTACTGACCACTACTCCATCCTATCTGTCTACAAAACTGACTTCTTATTTATGGCTGAATAATATTCCATTATGTGTATGTGTGCATACATATATATATATAATTTTTTATCCATTCATTCACTCATCCACTGACAGGCATCTAAATTGATTCCGCATTTTAGCTATTATGGATAGTGCTACATTTGGTGTCAAGGACACTTCCTGGTGGCTAACTATTCTCTCCTGTTTCAGGTCAACAGTGATCTCATTTACATTACAGCTAAAAAAAATGGCTCTCATGTGGTGGAAACCGTGGATACCACCCACATCGGGAAATTAATTGTGACCAAACAAATTGGAGGAGATGGCATACAAGATATCACTGATACTTACAAATTCCAAGAAGGTAACTTTTTGCCCAATTCCATTTAGTATGTATTTCCTGTCCATCAAAAATGTGTTCCAGAGAATGCACTGGCATTGGTAGCATTTGGTAGTGAGAGTACATGCATAAACTCTCATGAGCAAAAGACACCCCCAGTTTTCCATTGCAGTTATGTTTGTTTGCTGCTTTGAGCAGAATTCCCCTTCACATGGATTGTGAAATGAGTTGGTTTAAAGTTGTATCTATTTTAACAGAATATAGAGTATGTTCTTGCTCACAAGAACCTTACTTTTAAATTATATTAGGAAACACTATATAACTAGTATAATTTTAGTTCAACAATAGAAATTTAAATAACTATCTCATATTTGTTGAGTACTTTACAAATTATTTTTAATACATTGTTCCATTGAATTGCCATGGAAACTCCATGACATAGGTAATAGGACATTAACAGGACAGTGGAATCTTACAAATTCAAAGGCCAGTTAAATTATAAAATAACGTTAGGGCAGGTTTTGTTAACTTTTGTAGAATGTTTCAAATGGTGCTATGAGTCCAATTCCATCTCAATCAATACTGAGTGTCTTCATAATTGGTCTGGAGTTGGGAGTCCTCCCAATGAGCAGGATGCAGTTTCTGTCTTTAGCCAAGAGATAGGATCACCATACAGAGAAGTCTGTAGGAAAAAAGAGGGATCCTTAGTCCCATCAGGAGTGTCAGCAAAAGTGAAGCTTCGGACAGGAGATCACAGGCCTCAAGGTGAATGGGGTTATGGCAGTGAGACCATAGCGAAAGGTCGGAGAGAGAAGCAGCCCATGTGTTTAGTGTCCTGCAGGCCTTAACCCCATCAAGTTCAGAATGCCTGGTGACTAACGACAGAGCTGCCCAAGGTCAGTACCTACCGAGAGGTGAGGATGTTGGGGGACTTGATAGGGAATAATGAATATATTTTGCAAATGCTTCACCTCCAAACATTCTTAAGAGCAGCATTTATTTTAGGGATTGGATAAAAATGACAAGTATATTTAGGTATATACCAATATATCTAAATATTCATCAGCATTCCTGAAGTGCTAAGGAGTGCTGGATTTGTTTTAAAAAAATTTTTAGACAGTCTCCTTGCTTTTATTTACAAAAGCAATTTGCACTATAAAGAAAATACCTGCCGAACTGAGAACATGTGTGCACAGTGTTAGAAATTCAGAACTTTTGTCATCTGAAATACTGAATTTTTACAGTATTTCTGAAAGATTCATTCTCTTCTTTATTTAGTTATCATCCATTGCATGACATAAATACAGAAAAGATTGAGATTTTTTCTTTTTTGGCTTTTTCCAAAAAGGGAAGTTAAAAACAATGTAAGCATAATAAAACAAAACAAATAAGCCATGCCCTCTTATTACAGAGGTACAAACAAACAGATTTGGAAAGAGGAAAAGAATACTTCATAGAAAATGTGCAAGAGACTAGCTGCAACATTCTCTTCATACATCTATGCACTCTGCCTCTCCTGAGGGCTGTGTGGGGTGAGCCTTGCACAGCCCTGCCTGCCCATTTAGCTGCAGGGGAAAACAAAGTCCAGCCTTACCACACTCGGTGTACAGATACCACAGGGCCCGGTCTTCCCACCCAGACTCCAGTCCAAAAGGGACTGTGGTCCTCGCAGCCATGTGGTCATTGTCCTGTAGCTGTACTTACACACTGTTGTAGGATAGAGTTGAAGGAGCAGTTCATTCAGTCCCATCTTGGGCATCACTGGTCCTAGAATGTTGGCACCTCCTGTGTGCTGAGCTCTGAGCACAGAGCAGATATCAAAACAGTGTCCAAATGAAAACTGGTAGGTGACGCTGGGGAGAGCTGTCCAGGAAGAGGTGTGAGGTAGGGATTGCAGCATGAACTCCCCTTTTCCAGAAGAAGGTAAGTCCTAATCTGGTAGGTCATTGAAGGAAAGGTGAGGTCCCAGACATCTAGGAGGAGCAGTCAGTGAGCCATGTGACCAGATGTCCTATCAAATAAAGGTGGCAGAACACAGCTTCCATTAACTGTCAACTTCAGGGTGACAGGCAAATCAAGATCAGGAACAGGACAGAATCAGATGCCAGGAGAAGAAAGACGACAACCAGCCTACTAAAGCGGAGTGGTCAGGGATAGACAAGGGTTAAAACAAAATGCACAACTCTCCATGAGGAAGACTTCTGAAGTCCATGTCTCCAGAATTTGGCAAGAAGACAAGGCACAGGCAGAGCCCAGTGTGTGTTCTGATCGAACTGAAAGAACCCCTAAACCCACACCAAATGTTGTGAGAGTCTCTCCCCCACCCTCCATCCTGCTTCTGGGCTAGGGTTCAGTCTCAGGTAGATAGTGTCTTAATGAAGGATGGTACATTCATTTCACATTCTAACTTTTCAAAGAACTGAATAGAGCGCTGTTTTGAGCAGGACATAGGAACACCGTTGCCAGTGGTGGGAAGAGTGGTGGATTTTGATGTCCGCCATAGTTATGTGGTAAAGGACCAGCAGTGACGGACCAGTGTGTTGGCCACTCTGATTCTCATAGTGAGCTGTTCAATTTCTCTGAATCCACAAATGCTAAGTGTAAACACTAAAATATGGAGATGAGTATAGACAGAGAGAAGAAATTACTACCAGATTTAGGAATTAACTGTTCCAATTAAATTGTAGAAAGACCGTTCTTCAAGTCAACTAAAGCTTACTATCAACTTTGTAACTTTGTTTCAAAATGTAAGATTAAGTACCTGTAAAACTTTGAAAACTAGAATTCTGAACGGTTTAACCATGGTAATATATCTTCTTTTGTGACGGTGTCACCACTCTTCACTCCATGAATTACTCCCTCTGTTACTTGTATTTTCATCTTTCCATTTTCTGTTTTCTCCTGCCAATTAGCATTTAAGTATCTCCTGAATGAAACAAAATATTTTACAAAACTCTTTCTCAAGACCATGCTCTGTACCACCCACTCCCCATTCTCTGTCTTTCCTTGCCCATCTTGAAAGCGCCACCTGATATGCATGCCCATCTTGTGTCACTTTTCCAGTCACTCTACCCTGATTTCTGCAACCAGCATATCCTTAACTCAAGGTCACAAAATCCATATTTGCAGACTTCATCTTGCTTGACCTTCTTATACTTCCTGATGAAGTTGTTCATTCACCTTCCTCAAAATTCTCTCTCCTCTTTGCTTTTATATTACAAATTTCTCCTCGTTCCACCCTCACCTTGCTCTTTGTTTTTCCTATCTCCTGCAACTCTAAGCTTTCCTTTCTTCACTCCCTTCTGAATCCTGCTTGATTCTCAACTTCACTCAACTGAATGTAAAATGCTCTAAGTTGGACTATTGGAGAAAACCGTTGTATCTGGCTGAAAGCAGTGTGTTTCTTCAAACCTTCATCCTTCAGAGCCCTGTGCCAGTACAACCTAGGGACACAACGGTAGACAAAGTAGACCATGTCCCTGCTTTCTTAGAACTTGTGCCCCAGCAGGGGAGGCAATGTCACACAGCACCAAGTACCTTGCCGGACAAGCAAAGGGAAAGAAAGTCAGATTTAGTGAGAGTCTCAGGACTGGGTTTCAGAACGCATTACACAGAGTAGTAGGGCAGGGCTCAGAGGAGGTAGCGATGGCTAAGAACAAGACAATGAGAAGAGACTTAGTCCAACATAAAAGAGCTCTTGTTGACATCCTAATCAACAGGAAGACATCTTTGACCTTTCTCCTGGAGGCCACAGAGGAACCTCAGAGAATATAGTCTAGCTTTAGAGAATCTCTCAGTGCTGCCCATGGCCTTGAATTTCACAGACACCAGAGCACAGAGTCTAACTGCAGGGAAATGGGAATTGTTTTCTTGGGCTCTGGGGACATGCAGCTCTGTCCTCTCTCTGGGCCTGCTCACAGGTACAGGCCCCTTCCACAGGGAGGGAGCTCAAGGCTGCACTGTCCAGGACAGACTCCACACAAGCCCCTCCCTCCCCTCGGCCTGCTTGCTCCTCTCCCAAAGGCAGCCCGTTTCTGCTTATGTTCCTGCTGCTTGAATTGGCCTCCCACCTTTTGCTTAAATGTATATTTGGCCCCATCCAAAGTGACAGGCGTTAATGTGCTCTTTCTCATGGGCCTGTTTGCCAGATGACTTCTGCTAAAATGTCTCACTACCCTCGCCCCTCCTTTCCTTCCTGAGCTCCCTTCTGTTGATCTGCAAATGTGCTCCAGCCAATGCCTGTCCTCTGGCACATCCTTGCAGTCTTGACAATCAGGAACATTGTCAAACACACAAACATACTCACACTCACGTTTGCATGCAGCCTGCTGACTTTTTCTCTGTCCTTCTACTCCCTCTGGGCAGGTACCATTAGAAGAAAACTGATGGTGTTAATGGTGCCTAGCTTGTAGAGTTGTCATAAGGATTAAATGAGATAAAGCACAATAAGCATTTGTCCCAATGCCTGGTACAGACTTAATGCTTAATAACAATTGTTGTGATCAATTGGTCTCTTCACCATCATTGTGGTCAATTATTAACCAGGAAGAAGGCAATATCTTAAAATTCACATAGAAAAGCCAGCATTCTTATTATAAAGTGAATGTTTCCACTAGCCATTCTGATGACTACTTTTCATAAGCCAAGGAATTCACCTTCATCTTTTTGTCTCTACCCTCCAAGATGCATGAAGGTATAACCAAAGATATTTAGGATAGAAAGAGAATGGCAACCAAACACATCCCACCCCAAACCCTCATCCCTCCAAACCCCTCCTGCCTCTGTCCTGCTTATCTCCAAAGCCAAGCACTTTATCCGAAACTCTGTAAGGACCATTGGCCCAGCTCATCAGCCTCAGAGGCAAAGGCACAAGCCCCTTTGAGGCCCAACTTCTTTGCCTACTTCCAGTTGCTTCACCTGCACAAAGCTACGTTTTTCTTCTTCCAGTGCAAATTCTGTCTCTAGCTTCCCCTCCTTCATCTCCACCACAACACCTCAGAAACTGTATAAAATACTTTCCTCAAAGCAGCACTCGTGTCTCAACTGCACTAGAATTGTGGTGCATATACCAATAGATGTCCCTTAAAAAACCGTGTTCTGTGTCACATGTGTCTGGGAGATCTTTTGCTAAAAAAAAGCCAACAATTCTCCTTGCTGTAGGGCTTCACTGACAGGGTAAGGGAATCTGTGGACTTCAGGAGCTCTGGACAACTCAGGGCCCCTTCAGAGGATCTAAAAGGGGAATCCCTGGGTAGGGAAGACAATACATCTCCAGAGCAAGTGTCCTGGAAGGAAAAAGCCATGTCTGCATTCTGCTGAGGATCAGGGACCACCGGCCATAAGCAGAAGATGGAGAAGAGCAGGGTAGGGTGAGCAAGAGACAGCAAGTCCATGGCAAAGAAGAATGAGGGGGACAGGTTCTGCCTGCTCATGAGTCAGTCTCTGTATGGCAGGAGGTAGGAGAGTAAGAGGTAACTATTTCCAAAATCTCTGCTTAGGGGAACCCAAATTCTAGCTTCAAGGCTAGGACTTGGAGAGGAAGGCAAATTGACCCTATAGTTTGAGAAATCTGGTTTTTTGCCAGCTTTACTTGCTAAATCCTAAAATAATGGCCCTGGACAAACAACCCTTAAAGCAACCCCCTTAGTAACCCTCATTCCAGATGGCTGCCCATCAGCCCAGATGCCTGGGCAGGTCACGTTCTCTCTGGGAACCTATTCTGCAGAATATATAAAAGGAATAAAGAGCATATCAGCCTCCTGAGGAGGCTGAGAGACATAGAATTCATAGGTAAGGACAGAGGTCCGCACGTCTGTAAAGATAGCCTTCTCTCTGGTGGATCATATTTCTTTTTCCCTGTCATTATCTCTGTCCTAGGTCAAGAAGAAGAGAGACTGGCTCTAGAAACTGCCTTGATGTATGGAGCTAAGAAGGCCCTCAACACAGAAGGCATCGTCAAATCGAGGTCTGACGTGGACATGAACTTTGAAATAGAAAATGCTGTCCTTGGGAAAGACTTCAAGGTCACCATTACCTTCCAGAACAACAGCTCCAACCGTTACACCATCTCAGCCTATCTCTCCGGCAACATCACATTCTACACCGGGGTCGCCAAAACAGAATTCAAGAATGAGGCATTCAACATGACATTGGAGCCCTTATCCTGTAAGTGAACAAGGGTCTGACTCTCTCCACGACTTGTTATCAGGATTTCTGTCTCTGTCAGTGGCAACGCCCACTTATAGTTTTCTGTCAAAGTTCAAGTTCTCCCCAGAACTCAGGTACATGAACTATACAAACAGAGCTCATCTGTTCTAGAAAATCCTCAACTTTCACCTTTACATCTCATGCATAGACGTGAACACCAAAATTTTCACAGCCCCATCAGTTGTGAGAATTAAGTGTAACCTCACTTCTTGCTTCAAAGCGTGGTCCATGAACCAGCAGCAACAGCATTCAGGGAGTCTTAGCAATTCAGTCTCAGCCAGGCATGATGGCTCACACCCATAATCCTAGCTACTTGGGAAGCAGAAATCAGGAGGATCAAAGTTCAAAGCCTGCCCAGACAAAAGTTTGAGGGACCCCATCTCAACCAATAAAAACTGGGTGTGGTATGCAGACCTATCCTCCCAGCTACTTGGGAAGTATAAACAGGAGGATTGAGGTCCAGGCATAAATGTGAGACTCTTTCTCCCCATAACCAAAGCAAAAAGGACTGGGAGCCTGGCTCAAGTGGTAGAGCACCTGCCTAGCAAGTAAGACCCTGAGTTTAAACCCCAGTACTGCAAAAAAGAAAGAAAGAAAGAAATGCAGAGTCTTGGGCCCCACCCAATCCCCCTGAATCAGAATCTGCATTTTAACAAGATCCAGAGGATCTGAGTGCACAGAAAAGTTTTGTCTAAATGATCTGGCTCGGGAAACAAACCCTTGGTTGCCTCTCTCACAAATTAGGAAAGGCCCTGGTGGCTGCTTCATCTTCCATTCAGAAGGCAGAGAGAGACCTAAGCTCTACACACAGGCTGTTTCTTTAAGTTTGTGTTTTTTAAATTTATTTTTGCAGGACTGAGGACCAAACCCAGGGCCTCATGCATGCTAGGCAAACACTCTACCACTGAGCCACATCCATGGCCCCAGCCTGTTTTTTAAACCTTGATCAGTGGGATGTCCAGGGAGAGCGTCCATGCTCAGGAGAGGAGGCAGGGACACTGAATGTGCTCTCTGCATCTCACGTGGGCGTCTTCCCATCCTTTCTTCTTGCTGGCCTCCCCTGCACACACATCCTTCCAAGTATTTTCATCATCATGAAAGTCCAGAGTATTTTAAGCAGGGTGGGACTGACCTGTTCAGTGACATTGGGAACTACAATCGGATTGCCTCATTTTCCTGGGGTGTTATGCTGGGTGGGCGCAGAAGTCGGCCACAGGATGGGGAAAATGAGTCAATCAGAAGAAACTCTTCAGGCAGAGCATGTTGAGTTAGGGAAGTCTGGAGTGCACCTGTCAGTCAAGGGCACTGGGTTTCTGTTGACCTGACATGTGGCACTGAAAAAGAAAAGAAAAGGGGAAAAGGATACAAAAGTAGTATTTTTATAAATCAGAGACACAAAATGAATGTGCCCCCCTGGGATGAACAAATGCCGTGTCTCAGTTGTTCCCCAGCTTCTAGACTTGGTGACTGTCCCAGCCCAAGAATCCCCTTAGAGAGGTCTTCCCAGAAAAATGAGAAATTATTCCTAAAAATTCTAATTCCAAGAAACCTACTTGAAGGAACTTGAAGGAAGTGAATATCCCTAGCTTCAGAAGTATAGTTACCAGTTAAGAAAATCACCATGGTATTTTCTTTGGAAGCAAGATTTAACACTTGTTTTTTTTAATCCCAAGGAGGAGAAAAGGGTTCTCATAGAAGACGATAGTCAGCATTTAGGGCTGGAGAGAAGGAAGGTCCTCAGACTTGTCTAGCACAAGCAGGCACGTTCGATTTTAGACAATCTGAGCCTTAGAATCAGACAAATCTGGATATAAAGTGTGGCCCTGTCACCTCTGTGTGTCCTGGGACACATTGCTTAAGCCATCAGTGCTCTCTCTCTCCTTATCTGCATCTGGGAACAATATCACCCACACTGCAGAATATTCATTCATTCCCCAAGCATTTATTTCATGCTTGGAAGTGCAAGTTCTGGTTTGTTCTGGAAACAACAATTGCTACCCTTGCAGAGTTTCTGATCTCATGAGGAACCAGAAAATAAGCAACAAACAAGTGAATGCATAGAGTGGTTATATATGTAAAAGGAAAATATGGAGCAGGTTAAGGGGGACAAGGAATGCTGTCGCTGGGGTTGGGGTGGCCAGGGAAAACTTCCCTAACAGGATGATATTGAATGGAGGCCTGGCAGAGAGCTTCCAGCCAGAAGAAACCATATGTGCAAAGGTCCTGGGGTCAGAGCATGTCTTATATGTTCACTGAGAAGCAGGAAGCCAGGACTGACAGCTAAATTGGTTTTGATGTAGTTTGTCCCTAAAATGTCCATGTGCTAGAGGCTTGGTCCTCAGTGTGCTGACATTGGGAGGTGATAAAACCTGTAAGAGGTGGAGCCTAGTGGAGGGTGAGTAGGCCATGGGAATATCAGTCTCAAAGGGACTGATATTGGTGTTGTGGAGCGAACCAGTTCCCGAGAGACCTGGCTGTTATAAAGCAAGGCCACCCTCCAAGCTTGACCCCTTCCTTTTCTATTTATACAACATGGTGTGATATAATCAGAATGCTGGTATCATGCTGTTTATCCTCCTGCCACCAGAATTGGGAGCCAAATAACCCTCTTTTATTTATAAATTACCCAGCCTCAGGTATTTCAGTACAACAACAAAAAACAGACTAAAATGGGAACCAAAGTAACAAGGGGGAAAGTGGTAGGTGCAGATCAATCATCTAAAGAATTCTCAGCCTTTGTACAAACTTTGGCTTTATTTGCAGTGAACTGTAAGCCATTTGAGGGTTTTGAGTATGGTCTAACCTGGATTGGACCACTGTAGCTTCTGTGTTAGGAGACAGTAGAGGAAGCAAGACTGAAACTTGGAGACCAGTTAGGATGCTATTGCATTCCTTCACCTGAGAGGTGGTGGTAGTGATGGAAGTGGTGAGAACTGGTCAAAGGTGGGCATGTCCTAAAGGTAGAGCCCACCTGATCAGCCAATGGATTGGGTATGTGTGTGAGAAAAGGACGAAACTGAGATGCTAGATATGAAATGCTTTGGACGTGATAGCTGTCAGTACGTTCACTTCCAAAATTGTGGGAAACAGGCTGAGTTGATATGTTCAAGGTCACACAGAACAGTTAGAGACAAAACAGGTAACAGAACCCAGGTCCCATTCAGAGGAGATCAGGTGCTTCCAAGGTGGTGTGACTGTAGACCCCAAGTTCCATGCAGGCAATGACAGCCAATAGGAGGAAACTTGGGCCCATAGTGGACCAGTTTTTCCCTCTTGCCCCCATTAGGAGACCAGCACACATCCCTGAACAAGTGGCCAAACTCCAGCACTTTCCCTGCCCAGCAAGCATCCTGTCTGTCAATCTTCCCCTTCTCTCCCTAATCCAATTAAAGGATGAGCATGTGTGAGTTCATGGACTAGACTGCTACCCCCACTTAGTCACTGGTACAGGGACAGTTGATGAAACCTAAGCCTAAATCAGTATTAATGTAATTCCCACCCACTCAGACCACCGCCAATCTGGAATTAGAAATTCTTTCTTCCTTTATTAGTGTACTCATTAATGCAGGTAGGTGGCATTAATTGCGTGCAATAAACTGCACATTACAATGGAAAATAAATGGCAGGATTTTGCAAAAAGCCACATACTTCTAGCCTCCAATCAAGCGACTTGAGTGCCTCTACTGCAAAGAAAGTTTTCCAAGTTGAATGTGAAGCAGACTTTCCAGATTGAAGATGAAAGGGATGTGGGGGCTAAAATCACCTTGGGAAATCTGAATAACTTAAACCTCCCAGTACCTTCAAAGGTGCTATCATTTCCACTTGGCTATATTTAGTTTCCTTTGCTTTTTGGAAAAGAGATGAGGCAGCTTCAGTCTGTGTCTCCCTTGGCTTTCCCAAGACACCGTAAATGATGTTGGCAGCAACCCAGCTCCACCGCTCATAGAGTGAAAATCTATTCCTCCTTCTCTTGCCACGTTTAATAAACTTTATCTAGAACAATTTCTTGTGCAGTGGCAAAACACAGCACTTACATAACAGACTATTTCAGGAGCACTGTTCTCTTGGGCTCTGAAGCACAGCCCTGTTTCTTTAGTGCTGTGATTTAGGGAATGTTCTACCTCCAAGAAGAAAAGAGTTCTGGTATTGACATTGTAAGGGTAGTGAAGATGGGTAGAGAGAAGAAAAGAGACATATCCCACTAGCCTGAAGAAATGTGATGGTCAAGGCTACCCCTCTAGAAATAGCTAGAGGAAGTCCATTTTTATTACTATTACTAGAGGCACCTAGGGGCACAATGTTTGTTGTTCAGGCCCTAACGCTTTGCCATTCCACCCATCCAGATCTAAAAGTTTGAAGAGCAGGCCATATGGACTCATTTGAGGTCAACATCCATTGAGGAAGGCTGGGGCTCACTTATCTGGACAGTTAATTCTAGCAGAACCATGGAAGGCACAGGGCCCAGGATCAGGTCCAAAGAAAACAATATGAGTAGGTCATCCAAAAAAGGAAAATTCAGGAGCAAAGTTCAAGGCAAAGCCATAACTTAAAAAAATAGACTCTAAATGGGCTAGCACTATCCCAGGAATCAAGCCAACCCAAGCCATTTTGTTGAGTCCTGTCATGGATAGACCAATATGTTCAAATACCTGTACAGCTTAGGACAGGTTTCTCAGCCTTGGCACTATTGACATTTGGGGCTGGCTACTTCTTTGGTGTGGGACTGTCCTGGGCATGGTAGATATTTAGCAGCACCCTTGGCCTCTACTACCAGATGCCACTAGCAACTTGTCCCCCAGCCCAGTTGCAACAACCAAACAGATTTCCAAACATTGCCAAATGTTTTGTTCTGGGACACACAAAACCTTCCACCCATTGACACCAGTGTAGGTTGATCACCCTTTCTGGTGGGCAAGGGACCAATGAGACTCTTGGGATATAAGAGTTTCTATTTTAAAACCTAGAGCATCCCACATCAACCCTAACTCTGTCCCAACTACTCCCCTTCTAGAGCTCCCCTGCCTCTCAGAGCTTCTTGCTCGTGAATGAGCTGCACCTGGGACCCGATGCAGACACACTGTCTGACTCACAGGAGTGGCAGGTCAGGGAGCCTGTATCTTCAACACAGTGCTGCTGCTGCTGCTGCTCTACAGACCACACCTGATACAAGGGCCAGGTGGGAAGGCCGTGCCTTCCACTGGAACCAGAGCAGTTTGCAAGGCCAATTCTGCAGACCCCCCCCACACACACCCCCCATTTGTTGGAATGGTGCTTTCCAACCTTGATTACATGTCAACATCGGCTGCAGAACTTTTAAAAAGTACTGATATTGGGGGCATAGGTAGAGCACATTCTTAACAAGTGTGAGGCCTTGGGTTCAATCTCCAACACACTGAAGAAAAAAAAAGCAAATCAATACTGATGTCTGGGCTCAAATCTTTAGGAGCAGGCTCATGGGTTTGGGGTGGGATCCAGCATTCCAGCATGGCAGGTTTTTTAGAAGTCCCCAGGGATTTTGAAGTGGATAAAGACTGAGAGCTTGGCTGTCAGAGGGCTGGAGGCAGCCACAGCACCTACACATCTTTAAGGAGACTTGCAGGTGGAATGCTGCCCAAAGCAGAGTCCTTCCCTGGGCTCTTGGTTTCTGGGCCAGGAACTTGTTGCAGTTCCAGCCCAGGTGTGAGTATCCTGCCTATGGGTGATAAGCATGGTGAATGTTCCCTCACCAGTGAAGCAGCGGAGTCAGGGGCTTTCCCTGTGCCCTGGTGCTCACTTGTCCACAGGCAGCACTCCACCCCCTCCAAGACTGCTGCCCAGGGTGGTGGGGGGAAGTGAACTGGCCTCTGCACTTGAACAACCATTGTGGGAAGTTGGCTTCAGCAACTTCCACAGGAAGGAGGCATCTTTGGTAACAGCCAGACATTGGGCAAGAAGAAGCTGGAGATGTCAGTGTGTGAATGTTTATGGAGTCTGTGCCCTGAGGGTGAGAATGGAGGTATGAGTCACCCATTTACCTGCTGGGCCTGCCAGCTGATGGTGCAGCACAGACACCTGGCTCTGGCAAGGTAGCAGCAGGTACCACACCTGGGCCCAGCCTACGAAAGGACTGTCCTTTGCTGTACAGAATTCTGGGCCATGGGGAGTTAGAATGATGGAGGAAGTGGTCCAGAGCCACGAGGTAGAACTCACCATCCTCAGCCCAGATGGTGACTAGAGGGGAGCCAGGGCTACCCCCAACCCCATGCCATCCTTCAGGATTTGTCCCCAACACCTTAGAGAACCTGCATTTGATACAGAGCTCTTTTTAAATTACAAATAGGGGGAGGGGCTATTGAAAGCTTTTGGGGGCCTTGGACATATCTGACATTTGGGATTGTCCCTGTCTGAATGAAAGCAGCCACAGTTAAAACTCCTTGGTCCTCCATTTTAAATATCTTTGTCACAGCTTTCCATATTACAGCAGAAAAGGCAATGTTTGAAAAGTTCAACATACTTTCCCTAGAAACTGACTTCACTGAATATTAAATTTCTAGCACATTCTTTCTTCACTCAAGAAGCAGAAGAGTGCTTGTACCTGATTGATTCTTGGTTCCATTTGTCCCTGACCTTTGCCCTGTCCTGGTGACTAATGTGCTAATGTGGGAAGATGGGGGAGCAGGGGAAAGTAAAGCAGACCCTGTGTGGGGTCTTGATGTTGCCTGTTTGTTTTTCTCCTTACAGTCAAGAAAGAAGAAGTGCTGATCAGAGCCGGCGAGTACATGGGCCAGCTTCTGGAACAGGCCTTCCTGCACTTTTTCGTCACAGCTCGAGTCAATGAGTCCAAAGATGTCCTCGCCAAGCAGAAGTCTGCTGTGCTGACCATCCCCAAGGTCATCATTAAGGTCAGTTCTAGCATCTCCTCTCAGACAAAGGAGAAAGACAAGATGTGGATTAGGCACCCAAGCGTGTGTGTCTGTGTCTATGTATCTGTGTGTGTCCTGCTCCAAAAGCAATAATGGAGCTAGGATCCTCCTGTTCTTTGAAAGAAGCACACCACCCTATATATAGCCATGTACATATAACACTCCTCTTCTCCCTAGATTTAAATATATAGATGTGACTGCAGATATAAATATAACCTGTGGATATAAACACACTTGTGGAGGAAGATAAAGCTGTGTAATGGATACAGAGCCTTCGAATTCTCACTGTCTCCAGAATAAAGTGGGTCAGGCGAGCTGTGTGCTAAGCAGACCTCATGCATCATCCCATCTGCATTTGGAGCAGTAATATTGCTTACTGAAGTATAATCATATACAGTAGGATGCACACACTGAAAAGTACAGTTGGATGGTGAGGGCTTTTATATATGTATATGCAACCCCCAGATGCAACCCCCAGTCAGGTGAAGAAATGGAGGATTTCTAACACACCAGAAGGTATCTTCCTCCCCTGTCACCAAAATGCTACTGTTCTGATTTCTGCCATCATACATTTATTTTTCCCACTTGGTAATAGTTTTAATGGCTCCTCTCCAGGTACCACCAGAAATTTCTGGTGCACATCTGTAGACCATCTGTACAGACCTACACATGCACATCTTCTGGTGGTTTCTACAGCCAGCCCCACCCCTGAAACCGTTTCCCATGTTGGAAGCAGGAGCCCAAGTATCCTGCAGAGACCTTAAGGAGTGATCTCCAGGCCTTCAAGACTTCCCCTAGTGTCTGGAGACTATTCTTGAAGTGGTAAAGAATGATTAGCATAGATCCTGATAAGCTGCATTCTCCTGAGTGGTACATAAATCAAAGTTTCCTAATGTCTAGCATACTTTAAATGGCCTTAGAGGTGGGGACAGTGGGTGTCCATGAAGAGTAGGCCTTGTTTCTTATGAACCATGTGCTCAGAATCATTTTTAAACCTAGTCACTGTTGTGTCACATTCAACATGGCAGCTTCCTTGGGTACTTACTGGGGTCCAGATACTGTTATCAACACCCTTTATCTGCACTGTTGCATTTTCAACACTCAGGAGGTAGGGAATACTAACATCTCCACTTTATGCATGAGGAAGCTGAAAAATTAAAGGCTAAAACTTTTTCTCAAGTTTACACAGCCCACAAGACATAGAGCTGTGCCTCTCCCAGACAGTCTAGCTGTAGAGGGAGGGAGGGGAACTAGCTCACTCTACTCTTCTGATGGTCTGGCCTTATGTACAAGGCACATGAGCTACCCCGAGATGAGGGTCATCCAAACTTGAGAACATGTGCCAACTGAGAAATAGAACACCAGGTCCTTCTTTCCTAGAAAGACCTATGTTATCTTTCATAGCATAGAAGAAGAGATGTGCTTTTTCATCCAGTCACTGCTCATAGACCCATCCTAGTACTGTCAGCACAAAAGGCCTAAAAGCCAGAATACAAATGAGGACTGCAGGTTCCAGGCAGAATCAGAACCAAATGCAAAGCAGGGAAGTGGGCATCCAGATTGCTTCAAAGGTATCATGCATGAGAATGTAAATTCAATCATGTGAGGCACAGGAGGCCACCCTGCCCCTACATGGAAGGAGGGGCAGTTCCCTTCATGCTGTGTCCCTACAGGTGTGCAGCCCTGCAGGCCTCTCCCAGCTGCACAGTAGAGGCATCTTTTGCTGCTGTCAAGGGGATGTTGGGCAGGGCCCTTGCCCCAGCTCAGCCCTGAGCCTTTCCCACCAGAGGCGAGGCCTGCATGCTCATCTCATTATGAAGTGATGAGGTCCCTGTGAAGGTCTCAGGAGAAACTTTTCCACCCTGTGAAGAGCTCAAGCCACAGCATAAAATAGAATTAATTGCACCACTGATAATAAACTGGGTGGATGAAGGCAACTGATACGTTTGATCTTTGAGGCATTTCTAATTTGAAGGATTATTTGTTAGTTATCTTCTGGGTTTCCATAAAGAGCAGTTTAATTCCCTAGAGGCTGAAGCAGAAACACCTTGTCCCATAAGTCACCAGACCTTGGCTGGGAAGGGGAACTGTAAAAAGGCATGGTTTGGTTTGTTTTGCTTGGCAAAACAAAAACAGCAAGCAGGTCCTGGAGGAAGTGTATTTAGAGCCAGGGCCATTTAACTGAGTCTCAAATGCAAGAGAGAAGGAAATTTTACCTTCTGTTCAGGAGGATGTACATCATCACACAAGCCTTAACATTGACCTCATCAACCCCCAGGATAAACTCGATCCAAACAGGGGAAGACATGTTCCTGAGGAAAGCACCTTGTACCCTTAAAAAAACTCAGGTGTCATCCAGCTGTGACAGGCAGGTCTTGATTCTGGAAACTCTAGCTAATAGATGGGACCTGGGACATGCTTAGCTTTCTAGAGATATGAATGACATAGAGACCCCAGTCTGCAGACTGAAGTTTTCACCCTGAAAGTACGGGGGGAGGTGGGGAATGGAGACCTGAGAAAAATAAGGCATATTGAGGGAGAGGAGAGAGAAGAGGACAGTAAGAAAACATCAAGTTGAAACGTTACACGGGAGACTCTAGGGAGATGAGTGAGATAAATGGCACAAAACATGAGTTGGAGAAGGAACTAAATGCACTAAACTGCAAAATCTGCAGTGGCTCAGAGATCCAGAAGTATCTAGGACACATGTCCTCCAATTCTAGGAAAATGCCAGAATTTCTCCTCCAACTCTTTCAGCCTGGAATGAGCTCGCTGCAGATTGAAACTCCCAAAGTCATGGTGGATGACTGAGCCAGATGTAGGGAGAAAGACAAAGTTGAGAGGATGTGACCTGCCCACCTGCAGCTAGTAGGCAAGAGGAGGGATGCTGACAGCAATGACTGCAGCTGTGAGTCATTAAACACTGCACTTATTGGGTGGGCCTCCTGTATTGTCTTATTTAGAACTCATTACCATTTTACAGGTGGGTATTACTGTAACCTTCATTTTACAAGAGACACAGAGTAATCCTTGTAGCACAGTGGTCAGAACATGGAGTTCTGGAACCAAGCTGTCTGAGTTCAAAGTTGTTTTCTGAACTTAATACCTCTGTAACTTGGACAAATCATTGAACCTCTCAGCTCCTATTTCTCATCTGGACAGTAAAAGTGAGGACAGCGAAAGTGTTAGGGTTCTTGTGAGTATTTAGTGAGCCAAGGACGCCTGATGCTGGAGTCACGGGAAACACTTACTATACATTGGTGCTTGGTATTATGTAATTGCTTCTGTTCCTAAGTGACCTGCCCATGAACACTCCTGGTGAGGGAAGAGAGAAACTGCTACCCCAGGCCCTTCTGATCGTGCAGGTAACCACAAAGCTGCATCGCTCTCATACGGGAACTCTCATACGGGAACTCTCACAGGAGGTAGGGGTGCTGACAACCTTAACAAGATAGTTTGTGCATTTCAATGGAGGAGCAACTGCATGGGTTTAAATGCAGTGGAGTATCAAGAATTAAGATGTACAAGATAGGTAGTTCTCAATGAATGGTTGCCATTCACCCAGTGGAGATGATGCAGAGAATGTTCCAGATACCAGAAAAAGAAAAAACCGTAAGCAAGAGCAGCAGGGATGTAGACAGCAAGTGTGGGGAGCAATAAGAAGCCAGCTTGGCTGGAGTGGAAGTTAACCTGAGAAATGCAGAGTAGGGCCATTTTGAGGTGAGTCTAAAACTTGTGGAATGAGAGCTTTGTAATAGACTCTCTGGACAAACAGGCTGCACAGTGACGATTCTAGAGGATGACTATAACATGGTGCTCAGCTCTGCCCTCCTAAGATTTCTTCCTGTCGGTCTTCAACATCTTTGTACATTGTCTTCTGGGATTCTCCAGCACAGATTTGGGACTTGCCTGGAAGCAAGAACCTAGCTTTTCAGACCTAACTTCCTTTTTAGAGCAAATCTCAAACAACCAGCAACAATATTGGGTCTACTTGTCTAAATCCAAGTTACTGTCAATCAAAGCACTTAGGCCAGTGGCTCCATGTTCTTGGATCCTGATGACTCCATATTGGGTGCCATTCATCCCCATGGCAATAAAGATGGAGTTTGGATTGAATTTTTTCTTAATTAACTATTCTCAGCACCCACTATGCATGAGTCATAGTGTGTGATCCTCATATGGAAAATGGCAGGGAGAGACATTCATTAAACTTTAATGAGCACACATCTCTTTTCCTGTGCTATCAAAATATTTTGATGAGGAAAAAAACATATTTTATTAAAAGCAGAATAGAATTTTTCTCTGCCTTCCCATGTATTGATTGTCATAAACTACTTTAAGTCAGGAAAAGTCCCTTCCACATTTTAATTCTTAATGAACAGCTGTTTTGTGGAGAAAGGGATCACAGGGGAATTCAACTGGTCTTCAGACTATAGTTCAGTTTGTCTAGGGTCCGTGGCCTGTAATACAGGTGCAGAAATCTGAAGGGCTTCTCCCATTTTCAAGTAGCAGTGAAGGTGTGACAGTTTTCATATCCTCAGAAAATCAACTACAGAAAGATAACCGAGAGGCTCAGTCTGTTTCTAGAAGACAGAGAACTACAGTGGTAAGGCACAGGCCAGAGCAGACCTGCTGGTTCATAGTCCTATCAGGGCTGCTTTGGAATAATGACCACTTCATCTATAACGACCAGTAGTAACAGGTCATAGGCAAGTGTCAGTGTTGACCCCTGAAGAGGCCTTCCTGCAGCTAAGCTCCTCTAGGCCAGCACGTACACCTGAGCACTGTATCCCTCTGGGCTGGGAGGGAGACAGCCAGGGACCAAACTTTATAGCCTGCAGGGAGCTGCATCTCCTGTGAAGACGGGCTCCCTTTCTACCTGGCCCAGATGCACCATGGGTCAACCCTACATGTAGATCTTTTCTAGCTCTACACATTAGCATGGTTTGTCCCAATAGCAGCCCTAACATTTTGTTCAA